GAAAAGTACTATAAATTTCAATTTTTTGCATATCAATATGATGAAAAAATACATCGTAAAATGTTAATCAAAATTATTATCGTTTGACTCTTGTCACGACCCAGACCGTCGTGATTGACACCCACACTAACCCTCCGGTGGGAGAACCATTACTACAACCCAAACTAAACAACTTAATGAAAACTAAAACATTTAAAGATACGAAGCAGTTATAAATGACAATAAAAATGAAGTTCCCATAAACTCCAAAGGTTTAAGCAATTAACTAACCAAACTAATGCAGAAGAAGAACCCCTAGAATCTGAAAGTCATTGTACCAAAACTCTACTAACGACAAGTCTAAGAACAAGGGGTACAACCCCGAAACTAAATAACACCTTAAACAAAAGTCTGAGTCCGAAAAGAGTGGACTTAACAAGAAAGATCCATGGCAGCCTGAAAGAACTAGCTCACCCTTGAATTCGGTCACGCTCAATAGTCACCTAGCTGAGGTCTATCAATAGCCGCCTGAAGATGCCTTGTACTCAACAAAGAACAAGCAAGTGCAGTATCAGTACACAACTACAGTGTACTGGTAGGATCACACGGCTATCCCAATAAGTGAAACACATGCAAGTAACCACAACATTATAAAACAGACATATACCAAATATATACAATATTAGTTATCTTTTCAAGATCAATGTAGCATTACACGTTCGCAATAATATACATTGGTTATCAATTTAGAGCAACATACAGTCTTCCAATACCAATCATCATTAGATATGAATGTAATCATCACAAGTAGATATACAACACAATTCAATGGTCCTCTCACGGAACTCAATTCAATGGTCCTCTCATGGAACCCACACCCAAACTATTAGCATACTAGAACGTGGTACCCGATCCAATGTTTATGCCGGAATGTGGCAATCGATCCCATATTTATGCCGAAATGTGGCAATCGATCCCATATTTATGTCGGAACGTGGCAATCGATCCCAGTTAGTGTGTCGGATCGTGACATCTGCCCATTCAACAAACCACAATCATAATCACAATGTATATTCTCACAATCATACAACAAGAGGTGATTCATGACATACAATTATTCAATTATCCTCATTTGCGATTAGGGTGATCAGTAATGCACCATTCGCATACATACATGCATTATAATGAAACAATTACAAACATATATCACACCAACATGAAATCACAACCATCACCTACCTCGAACAAAACTTGAATCCCCTTAGAAACTTGATTCTTCCCTTTCCAGATTTGTTCCGCTTGTTCTTGGTCTACAAACTACAATTATAATATGGGAATCAATAAACGAATACTAATTACCCGGATTACTACAATTATATCAACCCTAGATCAAACCCATGATCTCAATTAGGGCTGTTTCCACAATGAATTCTAGATCAAAACCCTCCCCCATCAATAATAACTCAAGAAAATAGGTTCTACGGAGCGAAAAACGGATTAGGGGAGTAAAATCCTTACCTTTAGTGCTAAAAGAGGTGGAAAACCTTCAAGAAATAGCCATGGGTCGTTTCTTAGTTCTTAAGAACGAACTTTTGCAGAAAATAACGTTTTTGAAGGGTTTTACCCTATTTAAGTCGCGATTGTCCCGCTACAGCGGGACCCATCCCACTATAGCTGGATCCATCCCGCTACAACTGGATGCACGGAGACAGAATGTTACCCGTTCACACTAAGATCATTTTCGGGAGTTCTACTCACCCGAATTCAATTCCGTAAAGTCGTACGGGTTCCTTAACCCCTTGGCTATCTACTCATGTAAACAAAATCATAATTAAATCTCTCATTCATTACCAGATTTTGCTAGACCTTACTGACTCCGATTTCGTCCAAATCTGGACTAGGTTAGGAAATTCCAAGTTACTACCAAAAAATTTTCTGACCCCAATTCTTTCCCCAATGGCTTCCTAACGACGGAATCAGGTTGTTACAACTCTAAAAAAGAAAATTATGACAATTGAAAGTGGACAAAGATAGTAACTATTTATTTCATATGTAAATAAAATTTGTAATGCATATTATTACTTTTTAAATCATTTATATCTCTTATAATGATTATTCTCATAAGCATATAATTTATTATTACTTCGAATCAATTTCTACTCTATCATTTATACTCACCAAATTCATTATTTTTTATCAAATATATTTACCAACCAAATTGACCAACAAATGGCTCAAAGTAACAATGTTGGTTCGTCTTCTCAGTTATATGAACGAGAAATGCAAGTTCATAATGAGAATATTGTCCATACTATGTGGGTGGATTATATTAAAGACACCACAACTTATGTTTAATTTTATTTTTTATTGAATTAAAGGTTGATCAATAAATATTATATTTTTTAAAGAATATCTTAGTGATAGTGTATTATGCGATTTTATAAACTTGTGCTTATTTGGTAAGATTGTATAAAGAATTGAGACACCTTTTTCGGGTTAATTGTTTTTTTCTTCTAAAAATGACATCTTTATATTTGGAATTTACTTAATTTTTCTTTTTATTTATTTATTTATTTATTTATTCTTGATGACATAATTTATATAGCAACCAAATAAAAATGTCATGACATATTTAATATCACAAGTTTTAAGCGTTAAAAGTTCGTATTTTCTTTGCTAACTTTTTTATTCAATGAATTCCCATAGTATAAAATGAAACAGTTGCAATATATTTCTCCTGAAAATATCAATAACAAAAAAATGACATGGAAAATGGAAATATTAGAAAGCTTTGAATTTTTTTGGGAAATATTCCTCCATGTAATTTTAAAATACTTTGAGATTCTTCCTTCGTCTTCACTCATGGAAATGCACTAATTCTTGAGTGTCCGCGTAAAAAAAGTTACCAAAATATTGACATTATAATAAATATAGGTGAAAAAGAGTGGGTATATCTACTACTAATATATAAGTGGTAATAAACAGTTATGAGCGTATTTAGCTATTTGGCTTGTTGATTGGAGCTTGACACTATTAATATATAAGTGGTAATAAACAATTATGTGCATATTTAGCTACTTGGGCTGTTGGTTGGAGCTTGGCACTACATGTCACCGGTCTCCGATTCAAACATGAGTGACAATATTATTTTTATTTCATTGTCCATTGTGGACCTCAGGTTTGAAGCGGAGACCTTTGACATGTAGTGTCACTCTCCAATCCAACAACCTAAGTGGCTCAATATGTGGTGAAACACGCAATTAAAGCATACATGTTGACATATGTGATGAAATATACGTGTTGACGCCCGGTGTGCTTATTGTCACTTATATATTAGTAGTAGAAATTCAGCCATACATTTCGCAAAAGATATTTAGAATTTGAATGCACTTTCAAAAAGTAAAAAGTGAAAGCACAATAATTAACAACCTAAAATATTTGAAAAACATATTAAAATGTGATTAACTCTCAAAATTTCACATGTGCCACATAAATTGAGACAACATAAGTAACATTTATTATTTGAAAATTATGTTAAGAGTACTATAAAACACATCTGAAAGTATTTAAAAATATATTTAAAAATTGATTAATTCTCAAAATTTCACATGTGCCACGTATAAATTAGGACATGAGAAACAACATATATTATTTTAAAATGATGTACTTAAAGTATATTAAAAAATTGATTAAATCTCAAAATATCATATGTGTCACATATATTATTTAAAAAGAACGTTTAAAATATTATAAAATTAAGTAACAACAAAATCATAAAATTTAAAATAAATAAAATAATATATCTTGAGACCGAATTTGTCTAGACTTTTGTATCTAGTTATACTATAAGGTTTTAAAAAACACTTAGTTGGTTTCACATGCGTATACCATTTTATCACTTTCTTATTGTTTTTTTTTTAACTCATAATAAAACCCAACTCTTAAATACATATGTATTTTATTTTTTAAAATTATAGAAAATTAAATTTTGATTACTCTTTGTAATTTATGTCTTTGCCACCAGTAATGGCGGAGGCAGGAATTCTATCAAGGGGGTTCAAAAGAAAAAATTAAACACGCTAATATTATTCATAAATAAACGGATCGGGTCATATATGAACGGATTGATTAACAAACGGGTTGACAAAAAAATCCTTAGTTCAAATAATTTCTTACAATTACAACTTATTTTAAGAAACAAATTTAAAGTACATATCTATAAAATGATAATAAAGTAGCACAACTCATTCAAAAAGTTCTTCAATTCCTTTAGAATTCTCTTCGGCTCTTGAAAGTGCAAATGGAGAGCAAGCACAAATTTAACATTAGAAAGACGTACTAACAAAAAACACAAATCAAAGCGAAAATACTATTTCTTCACAAAAATTCTTTTTGGCATAAAATGACTTCATTACATTACAAAACTACACAACCTTGAAGGGAGGTTAAGAAACCAAACATGCGGATAAACCTATCAAAACATAGTTTTACATTTTGAAAATACAACTACATACATTTTTACAATTGTATTCTTACGAGGTTTTACATATCTTGAAATGTCTTAATAATAACATCATTAGAAATCTTATCAAATACATCTTTTTCTAAATAAGGCACCAAACAACCACTAAAAAAATCATCACTCATTTGACTCGCAAGTCATTCTTGATAAATTTCATTACCGAAAAAGCTCTTTCAACGGAGGCAATGGCAACTGGTAAAAGTAGAGCAAGTTTCACTAAGCGAAATACAAGAGGATAATTTGAATGTATCTTTGTCTGAACTAATCTTTTGGAAAGATCACAAAGCCCATTTAGATCGGAGAACCTTTCATCAACATCACGAACATCAACAATGTAACTTGCAAGTTGATTCTCAAGAATACTCATATTGGATTCATCAAAGTCATCTGGATATAATTCAGCCATTCTCATTACTTTTCTTATGTCAAAACTTGAAAATGAGTTAATTGGATTCAAGCAAGCAATTCCATGGAGCAAATCGATAGTCACCTCATCAAAACGATCATTAAGTTCTTGAAGTTGTCAATCAATGATATTGCAAAATACTTCAACACGATAATGATGTAAGATTGTGTAGTTAGCAAGTTTCCGCCGGGATCTTAAAGAGCTAACATATGGCTCCTCAAAGTTAGGTATCAAAACATCATGTTTGATACAAAATGTAGATACCTTGGCAATAAGAGAATCCCATTCATCATCTCTTAAGACTTGCAACCTTCTCTTTGCTACTTCAACAAGTAGCATGGCATTTGCAATATCTTGCTCTTTTTTTTGTAAGCATTTATTAAGCTCATTTGTGATTGCTAAGACATCTCTCATCAAATGCAACATAAACGCAATCTCAAATGTTTGACAAGCTTCAAGATGTCCCATTGCCTTGGCTCTTTCATCCATACTCCTTGCATCAAGAGCAAGTGATTCAAGAACCTCAAGAATAGAGCCAAACAAAATAATAAAATTGTTAAAGGATTTATAATGAGATCCCCAACGAGTATCACAAGCTCTTGAAAGACCAAGTTGTTGATTCAAGCCCCTACCGGTTGTAAGTTCACCCATATCTAATGCCACTTGAATTGTTGATTTTTGAGAATCTCGTAAATTATCCATACGCTTAAAAGAAGATCCCAATACATTAAAAATATTTGAGATCAATACTACAAGTTTTCCCACTTCAACACACTTTTTAGAGACCCCAACAAGAGTTAGTTGAAGTTGATGAGCAAAGCAATGGATTGAATGAGCCGATTTACTTTCTCGTCTAATCAACATTTTAAGGCCATTGGTCTCACCTTGCATATTACTTGCCCCATCGTAACATTGTCCACGCACACTTGATGGACTCAAAGAATGTTGAGCAAGTAAATTGAAAATTGCCTCCTTTAAAGATGAAGCACTAGTAATTTCAACATGAACAATGTCAATAAGTCGCTCCATTACAAATCCCATTCTATCAATATAACGAAATACGATAGCCATTTGCTCCTTGCGTGACACATCAAAGGATTCATCAACTAGTAAAGCAAAGTAGTCATCATTTAATTCCTTAATAATAGCTTTAACGGTCTCTATCTTACATGCACTCACAATATCTTTTTGAATCATTGGAGAAGTTATTTGGTCATTTACACGAGCATGTTTCAAAACATAATCACAAATTTTATCACATTTTTTTGCATACCATGAGAGAATTTCAAGAAAGCTACCCCTACTAAGTGATGATTTAGATTCATCATGACCTCGAAATACAAATCTCCGACTTATGAGAAGTCTTACTACATCAACTGACGCACTTAAGCGCATATAATATCCATTTTTAAGTTGATTAGATTGCCTCTCAAATGCAAATTGAATAGACCGCCGTTGTTGTAGTAAATCTTGACATTTCTTTTTTGATTGATTATGTATGCTATTCGGTAGACCAATATGTTTGTCAAAATCACCCTTTTTGTTCCAACTCTTAAATCCTATAGTTGAAAATATCTCCCTTCCTCCTTGATTAGTGTTATGATCTTTAAAAAGATAGCAATACAAACAATAGACTGCATCTTTACTAACACTATACTCCAACCAATTATGATATATATCATCAAACCATTCATGATTAAAACGACGTATTGATCCAAAAATATTTGTTTGAGGATACTCTTGCACCGCCAAACGAGGTTGACAAGGACCATTCAAAAGGTATGCTCTTCTAATAACATCACGGTGGTTTTGGATGATAGTTCAATATTGATGTTCTTTCACCAGGATCAAACTTTTAAAGAACTCAAATCAAATTCTTGAGAAGAATCTAACGACACTTCTGAATGATTAGTATTTTCTTTTTGATTAGATTGACTATGACTTTGAGAGGCTAAAGTTGATTTCAGTACTTGTATAAATTACTTCTTCATTGAATATTGAGACTGAATCGTAAAATAAAAATTTAGTCAGAACTTACAAAAATTAAATATGCAATAAGGACCAAAACAAAATTATAGACCATGAACAAAAGTTTGAATCTCATAAATAAAAGTTAATATCCACTGAACAAATGTTGAATGCCGAGTTTTGGGCTAAATTCATCCTTTAACTATGGCCTAAATATAAGGTACATCCTTGTATTATCTCATTGCACAAAAAACATCCTTATACTATTTAGAAAGTTGCAAGATTCCTCTTTCCATCCATTTCTGTCAAAAATCTCACAGCACAAAAATAAATATGCCAAGCACGTGGTTTTACTCTTAAATAAGGCTTCAAAATCTTGCAGTTTCTTTGATAAGAACATCAAAGAATACCAAATTCACCCCAACACCAAAAAATGTTAAGTGTTATTAGTCCAAGTTTACGGCACCATTCCCAGGAGGTATAAAATAGTTAATCAATACTTCAACTTACTCTTAACTTTAAATAGGAAATTATATATATTTAGAGAGAGGTGAATACAGAATTTAGAGTCAACACAATATTAAAATTTTTATGATACCAATGCAATGAGAATGGTGCCTCTCCTGGATACCAAACTTTAGAAGAAGGCAAAGATAATCCTACTTTGACTTTATTTTAATCTATCCAGTAACCAAATTCTTCTTAATGTATTGTTAAATGAGTGCAACATTGGATCTATTCAAACCCAAATTTAAAAAAGAAAATAAGAAAGTTGGCAAATCTTTCTGACATTTCATCAAACACGTAATGGACATCTTAAAATCAACAAATAAGCCCAAACAAATAAAATTATAACTTTCATAATCAGTGAATAGAACTAAAATTTTCATATGAAAAATAAAAAATTGTTAAGAGAAGTGAATATCCGAGTTCAATCAGCTAAATAAAATAGCACATCAACAAATACCAGAATCAAAGCATAGAATTCTGAAAATAAATTTTTTTACAGAGGTTGCCATCACAAATGGAGCCTGAAGGAGAGAATGAAATTAATCCACGGAGGACCACCACCTCTCCACCAGCGGCAGCAAGTAGCAGCAACAGGCGGCAGCAAGTCAACAACAAGCGGGATTGCAGCAACGGCCAGCGAGCGACAACAAAACCTGAAGGCTGAAGTTGAACGAGAAAGAATAGGGAAAATATTATATTGCAATCCCTACAAAAGAGGGATTTTTTTATTTGTTGACTTTTCCATTAGAGATTTTAAATATAAATTTTTTAATTAGTTATGACTTTAAAAACGGGGTCGTTTGGTCTATCTATATTTAATAAAAAAAACACTTAAAAAACTAATGCCTGCAAAATTGCTTAAAATTACAACAAGAAAAAAAAATGTTGCTGCCTGGAATCGATCCTGCGACCCAAAGCTCACTTAAGCGAAATCTTGAACCCCCTCAACCGTTGGGCTACTCCTTTAATATATATTCAGGTGGTTCAATTTTAAATATATACATGTACATTAAAAAAGTGATCTTTAATATATAGTGTAATTTTTTTACCGAGGGGGTCGGATGACCCCCCTGGAAACACTGTACATCAGCCCCTAGTCACCAGACTACGTAGTTTCCACCTACCTCTATAATGATAATTAAATGCATGTCTTGTTCCTAATCTAAAACTTTACCAAATCTAGGGTATGTTCACTATGTTGAAAAATATTCTTTGAAAAGTATTTTTCAAATTTTCTAAAAGTATTTTCTTTAGTTAAAATAAGTTTTAAATATGATATTTTATATTAATTGTGTTCTATCCATCCTTCAATACACTTTATCTTTACGACTTCACCCCTAACCCCATAACTTTTGACCCGCACCATGTTTCTACCTTTATCCATCTTTCATCGTATTTGTTTATATTATATAAAAATATTTTTAGAATAATATTTTTTACTTATATAAAATTAATTTATTTTTTACGAAAATAATTTCATTCGTACCGAACATGTCCTAAATATACCTCCCCTTTTTTGGGTTGGGTAGATCTTCAATATTTAGACATATGATAAATGTACATTCGGATTGGGGAAATCTTTGAAATTCAGACTAAATTGCAGAAATAGGAGGCAACTAAATTTTTTACCATTTTAATATTGTACTTTTTAAATTTCAATTTATGTAAAGATCAAAGTATTAGGATTAATATATTGTTGAGAATATGCCTCAGGATATTGCAGAAATAAAACAGTTAGCTATTTTTAGATTTTTAAAATTATTTTATTAGAGTCCTATGTGACTTGAATTTAGGAGTTAGTTCTTTTATTTGTTATTTAAATTTTGCTGATAAGTTAGTAGCATATTTTTCTATTTTTAGTTAGGAATTATATCTATAAATGGATGTCTCTGAATTATTAATAAATCAATTCCCTTTGACAATACTACAATATTTTTTCTCTCAAAGTCTTTCTCTGTTATTTTCTTAATTTTCTTCATTAAAAAAAACCAACAATTGGTATCAGAGCATTCTTCTTGAGGGCCTATAAGTAGAAAAATGGATTCCGACGCATGGCTCCTCCTATTTTTGATAGTGAGAATTATTAACTATGGGTTGTGAGAATGAAAACCTACTTGGAGGCTCTTTATCTTTGGAAAGTCGTTGAAGAGGATTAAGAAATTAATTCGCTGCTAAATATTCTCACCGTGGCCCAAATCAAGAGTCACAAGGAAAAGAAAACCATTAAGTCGAAGGCAAAAATAACTTTGTTTGCTACTGTTTTGACAACTACTTTCACAAAAATCATGACTCTCACATCACCAAAATAAATTTGGAATTATCTGAAGAAAGAATATGTTGGAGATGAAAGAATACGAGGAATGAAGGTATTAAATTTAATGAGGGAATTCGAATTGCAGAGAATGAAAGAGTCAGAAACAGTCAAGGAATACTCTGACAAATTGCTTGGTATTGTCAACAAGGTAAGATTACTAGGAACTGAATTTAAAGATACAAGAATTGTTGAAAAAGTTCTTGTTATAGTGCCCAAAAGATATAAAGCATGCATAACTATCTTGAAAAACACGCAAGATCTGTCCAAAATTACCTTGACAAAATTGTTAAATTCTTTGCACGCTCAGGAATAAAGTAGACTTATGAGGCAAGAAGGCATGGTTGAAGGAGCATTAGTAGCCAGCCACAAAACTCAAAGCAAGGCTAAATTGTTGAAAAATTACCCACCTTGTCAGCACTGTGAAAAAAATAGACATCCTCTATATAAATGTTGGAAAAGACCAGATGCACAATACAGGATCTGCAAACAACTTGGTCATGAAACAATTTTAAAAAGATGAAGCAATTGCCTAAGTCACTACTGAAGAAGAAGAAGAAGACCACTTATTTGTGGCAACTTGTTTTTCAACAAAAAAAAATCTGATTTTTGAATGATTGATAGTGGTTGTACAAATCACGTAACATATGAAAGAAATCTTTTTAAAGAGTTCATTCCTATGAAAAATAAGAAAGTCAAAATTGAAAATGGTGATTGTATTCCTGCAAAAGGAAAAAGGTCTGTTGCAATTAAAACAAATTCAGGTACAAAAATAGTTTCAGATGTTCTTTATGTGCCTGATATCGATAAAAGTTTGTTTAGTGTTGGTCAGTAAATAGAAAAAGGATTTAAATTATTATTTGGGGACAAATATTATCGAATCTTTGATTCTACTAAGCAAGAGATTTTACAAATTGAAATGAGAGGTAAAAGTTTCTCATTTAATCCAATAGAAGATGCACACAAGCCTTGCAAGACAAAAGATGAATTGACAGATTTGTTCACAAGGTCAATTTCAGATGAGACAACAATCTACAATTCCTGATCCAAGGAGGAGTGTTGAGAATATGTCTCAGAATATTACAGAAATAAAACAGTTAGCTATTTTTAGATTTTTAAAATTATTTTATTAGAGTCTTATGTGACTTGAATTTAGGAGTT